TTCCAGCTAGTTCTGGCCCATATTCCTTAGACATCAGTGCATAAAACCAATATCAAATAGCAGAACCTTCGAGGTACTGGATAGAGGTACTATTCGCGTTTGGAGGGGCCTTCGCAATTTTGCTTAGTTCCTTATTTGTTGACTGCGTTCAAAACCCTGCATTTTTTTTGTGAAGCTGCGAAGTATATTTGAGTGAGTGAGTCACTAGATTACACAGAAGTTTTATAGGTCTTTCCATTTGGTATAGGTAACCTTGGCTGAGTAGCCATTCGGCCCCCGTCAGACCGAACTGCGCCCTGGATAAGGTTTAATCTATGTTTTTACTCGTTATGAAGGTAATCTTCTTACACGTTTCCGATACATTATCAAAGGATTCTTATTCCTCGCCTTCGTTACTTGTTTCCACCTCACTTCTTTTTTGTACTTCTTGTCTTATGGTAGGAGGCGGATGTAGGATAAGCCAAACCGCCCTCGATTAAAGGAGTAGGACAGCGCGGTTCAAATCATGGGGGTGACTGCCTCCCTCAAGCCTTCTACCTGGCGCTGTTCGGCGACGGGGGGCATTTTCATTGCTTCCCTAGTTCCGGTTTACAAGTCCCACTCTGGCGAAACCTGTGAACTCTTGTGAAGCTCATCCACCGTTAAAGGCACATTCCGCGATAAAAATAAGGCTATGACCTCTCAAATGTGTCGGACGATCCGGAAGGCGATTTTTGAGGCTGCGCTACTTTCAAAATGTGGAAAACGGCAAGAACTCCGCTAGAAGCTGACTAATTAGGCCCATGGACACCCCTTAGGCCCATGCCGACCCTCACCGGCTGCTAGCTACTAGCTAGTAGCCACTATGTTATCTGTTCTCGGTTATACCATTGGCGGACTCGCTTTTTCATGCTTGGTCTTTCCTCGCTAATCAATAACTTAACACTTTTTAGGTCACGAACAGGAAATGTGCGCGTATTTGAGTTCCCGGTTTCCGCGCAGAGTGTGCGAGGGGTCCGCGTCGCAGAACTGCATGCTTTAAGGCCATGCATCGGTTAAAACCTTGTTAGTGGAAGAAGAGAGGTGTCTAAGATGGGCTGTCCTAGCATGGGTCGACACGTCGATGGGAATAGCAAAAGTACAAATGCACCCCCCCCCCGTGCGGATGCGCCCTCGTACCGGTACCTTGGCTGAACCAGCAAGGAACCACCAACTATTAGTGCCCCTGCCTAGACTACTCTCTTTTTGTTATGGGTTTTACTCCTGTGAGAGTGTTTCAAAAGAACTGCAGTCGACTAACAAGTAGCGAAACAAAAAAAGTGAGTAATGGCGAACAAAGATTACACCATCCTGCTCTTCTATAGAGCAGAAGGGGCTCTCTACTAAGTAACAAACACGTTGCTAAAACTTCATTTTTTCCTTTACCCACGTGATCGAACGTACAGCTGACCACATGAATAGCTCGTACGGAGTTGGACACTTGGGATTTATGGGATTTTTGTGCTTTAGAAACATTTCGAGAATAATCCATTGTGCAAAATCACAATTTCCTTCAGAATTGATCATTGCTTGAAATCGTTCCCGCTCATTTCAAATCGTCTTGCGTTGGAACTCGTTACCGCCGGCCCATGTATTAGGGGTCTGTGGCAATGGGTAGCGACTTATTCGAACACGGCGGCTTTTTGCGGGCCAGAATGTTAGGCGTAACGGTGGAAGGTGGGGGCCGCAACTTGTTCACGACCGAGATTGGTCCCTAGGTCGCAGACGCGGGCCGGAACACTCTAACTGATCATGTTGTTGGAAACTACGCGCGTAGGCGTGGTATTTTAGGTTTCCTTATATTTTCTGATGGCATCTAATCACAAAAGGCTCAAAATAGCTAGGCCAAAGGGAAAAGTGCCGCCAAGTTCGTTGTGCACCTGGCCATGACGCACAGACGGAAACGTGTAATACTTCCACGAAAATGCGACAGCGCCGAACCGTTCCCGCCAAAAATTATTGCGTCTCGTTAGTCAACATATCTTTTTTTTGATGTATGCTTAGTGTTACTTCTTAGTATTAGTCCCGTGCTCAATAGTGTCGTTACTGTTTGGCTTGGAGGGAGGGGCATCTTGCATTTTCACTGGTTCCTTTTGCTAGTTCCTGTTAATTGATACGTCTGTTTGGCGATACCTGTAAATTCATGTGAAGCGGAGGAGTGGTACAAGTAGCACATTTTGGTCACAAAAAGATCGCGTGTCTTCACAAGGTGTCCTGCACACGTTTTCATACTACACCATTGTGTCCCCGGCCCCCAGCGAATGTATCTGCTTATGTCTATTTTCGTAACATCACAGTAATACAGTAGTTCAACGCTTCTAAGGCTGTTTCAATCATTGTGCGCTACTTTTGGATCACTTCAAAACGCATATGAGGAGGGTATTTTCAGGCCAGACGCCAGACTTTAACTACTCGTTTTTTACTTATTTTGAACATGTCTGATGCTAAAAATTAGCCTATGCTACCAATATTCACCGTGGACTTATTACTTGTTTATTACACACTTTCTCCCAACTCATTCGTAGGCATCTTTTGCCTGTGACCTTACAGCCTTTGATTGATCTTCTACAGGAGTTCCAATCTCCGAAACAAAACTCGCAGATAAGCGAGAGTGGGGGACTGACTCTCACAACTTCTCGTGTGAACACAGACCCTCTCAGTAAGCTAAATGCGGCTTTTCTGCTCTTGGTGACTCAGTATAAAACCGTCGATTATGATTCTTCAAGAATAAACTGTGCAATCACCCTATGAATTCTGGTCCATTTCCTTGTTGTGAGGTGAATGTGTGCCGCAACTGCATAGCGCACCACTCTTTCTCTTGACACGAGTAAACCCTAAGACGATAGGATTAATATGCCTGGCTGCACGAAGTTCCGACTCCTGAGCAGGCGACGCGTAGCGCCTTGTCCGAAAATGGTACCCTTATAAGGCCTATCAAGCTGTAAACGTAATGACCCGGAAGTCAAAGCGCCCGACGTCCGCCCGCAAATAGACGACCGTTGACGCAATGCTGGTAGTTGTTAATTTTGCAACTGAGAATATCAAAGCGAAGAATTGATATGAAGTTGGCCGTTGCGTGCTGCATGAAACGATGCCTATCAAAAGCCTTTCGGCCGAATTCTACTTAAAGGCACAGTTCGCGACCGCAAATTGCGGGAAACGGAACTCAAATAGGCACAAAAAAGTGCTAAGTATCTGATTAGCGGAGAAAAGCAGCAGAAAAAGCAGTCCGAAATGTTATAGAGAAAGATAACATAGTGGCTACTAGCTAGTAGCTAGCAGCCGGTGAGGGTCGGCATGGGCCTAAGGGGTGTCCATGGGCCTAATTAGTCAGCTTCTAGCGGAGTTCTTGCCGTTTTTCACATTTTGAAAGTAGCGCAGCCTCAAAAATCGCCTTCCGGATCGTCCGACACATTTGAGAGGTCATAGCCTTATTTTATCGCGGAATGTGCCTTTAAGTTATGGGGACGTAAGAAGGCCTTTTCTTCTCAGATTTTGACAAGTTCACTTCGTTTCTTCGCCATTTCCCCCCACTATATAACACCCCTGCTCGAATTATCTCTGCCATATGCCTTTGAAAGTGCACGGGAACGCGACTGGAGGATAGTGATACCAAGTGCCATCTCCATACCCCACCTTTGAACTTCTGTCACTAAAATGACTCACTTGTAACACTTCTCCGCTTCACAGCCACGTGCCTAACCATGGCCTATTTGTCTACCTCTCTCACCTCCGGCTGTTCTCTACCGCTAGGTGCGTGTTTCGCTTTGAAACCTTGCGTGTAGGTGAAGTGCTGTACCGTTGAGGATAAGCGTTTAGGACTGAGCATGGAGATGGTGCTAGGGCATCATCACCCTCCAGCCCCGTGTCCGTGCACTTTTAGGCGGAGAAAGTGGCACGTTACTGCAGCTGCGGCCCATTCGCACGCACATGGAAAGAACCGTCCTCAAGGATGAGTGTATTCAAAGACCGACATAGTACTATAAAATTTTGACTATCAAGCACTGGTGACTTAATTATTAGTTATACACGGTAGGGAATCTTTGTTAAAATATTATGAGAAAGTAACGCATAGTATAATGTTTTCTCCCAGAATGGAACTTCATTACTTAGTTGTCTAATCATTTTCTTTAGATAAGCTGTTTCTCCTCCGCTGCTTAACGTCGCACCTACCTCTCCAGAACCTTACCTTCGCCTTGATTTTTTTGCACTTCATTCCGTTCTTCAAATTTTCTGCAACTTTTATAGTAACATCAAAACACTACTCAGAACTAACCGTTCTCCTAGTATAGGAAGCAGAGCAGGAGCCGATGAGAAAATTTGGTCGCCCAAAGGTTTTGGTTCCGCATTCTGCCATTCCCTCTAGTAAGACTCCCCTCCAGCCTGAGAGACCCACATTACTTACCTCATTACCCCTTTCCTACTCCATTTTCTCCGACTCAAAAAAAACTAAATGGGCTGAGGGATTCTCCAGAATTTGGGCATTCATGCGTGCTACTCGCACCAAGTCAGACGTGACTTTCATATCCGCTGCTCTTCAAAGTACCGAGGACTCATCACTCGCGCGCTGTCCTTATCAGAAGGCCTGCGAAAATATAGGAAAGCAAGCCGTTTCACATATTTTAGTCGTAGCTAGACTGAGAAAGGGCGTCAAACGACATGAAAGAGAACAGAACAAAACCCATTTTGATTTTTGCGCACTAGCCGTTGAAGGGACCCAGCATATGCTGCGATGTGAAAGCATGGGAAATAAAAGACCTATCTGGGAAGCATTCCATTGGAAATCAGAATTGCAGCACCATTTGGGTTCAAATTGCCTGAAACTTTGTTCTAGTGAAAGCTGGTTGCGCACAAACTACGCGATGGCAACCAGTTTGGCTCTCAAGTCTGAATTCTCGATGCATAGGTGGCTTGGCCTCAATTCAGCTTGGAGCTTAGTGCTAGTAGAGTGGAGGAAATATGCATTTTCACTCCATAGCATACTGGTTTTTATTTCAGAAGGATGCCTCCCTTCATGGTTCCGAAAAGAACAGAATGAACCACCGCAAGCGTTGGAGACGAAGGCCTCATTAACGAATGAAGTACGTCAGAATTCATATTTTCTATTTTAATGTTCCCACTTTGTTCCTTCAAATGTTCGTTCCTATGTTTTCATTCCTTTAACATCGCCAGGGACGTCTGCCCATGAGTGTTTATTTATTTATGCTCCCCGATAAAGGCTATACTGTTAGAAAAGAGTGGCTGAATACATGCGGTATGCGAAGAAAACAAAAAAAAGCAATGACCTCTTTCGTTAAGGGAGAGTAAGAAGTTCAGAAAAAATAATTAAAAATTGGGGAACGAAAAGCAGGTTCAAATGAAATCTAGACTTTGCGGAATATGGTGATTTCGGAACATGCCTCAATTGCCCACAACTGGGAGGAGGGGGACCAGTTTCAAGTGCGGTCACTCTATTCGGATGACGACAGACCCAGCTTCCCTCTGAGAGGCTTTGAATACCTCAAAGTTATCAGTGCCCGTCCCACTTATACGTTTTGAAAGTCGCACCAATATTGTACGTAGTACTGTTCAGGTTTATTCAAGGATCCGGAATCCTGAGAAATCTCATTCTTGAATGAATGCATCATTTTAGATCGACGATCCTCCGGAACTCCTAGATCATAGCCGGCCACACGAAATTGACGATGATAGACACAAAGGCCATCATCGACCTGCTCACGAAACCAACCAAGTCCACGAAGCTGACGACGGTAAGCAAAGTAGCTCATCGCCGATAAATATTTTGGCTATTTCAGAGGCGCAAATCCTGCTGGGGTTATTGGTGGAGTACGCGGTAGTGAACGGCAGCTTAAAGGCAGTTGGCACGATAATTTGATACTCGGCCTAAATGCTAGCAGGGCGCTATATAGTGGGGAAAATGGCGAAAAAACGAAGTGAAACGGTCAAAAACCTGCGAAGAAAAGCCTTCGTTCTTAATGACTCAAAAGCAATTTCGGACGAGTTTCCCGTAGGCATCTTGCCAATAACCGCTACGGTAGATACGGCTGCATGTGTACTCATATATCCATGCAGCACCACAGCCCTTCCTTCGCTTCATATTTTACTTAGCAAATGAAGCAATACGAGCATCAGGTACGGTCGTCCATTTGTGGGCGGGCGGGCGCGGTGGGCGTTCGGGTCGGTATGTTGTAGCTTGATAGGCCTTATAAGGGTAGCTTCATAAGAGTAGCTTCCTTGGAAAAAGCGCTACACAGCGCTTGCTCAGGGTCGCGGAATCCCTCCTGCCAGGCATATTAATCCTACTCGTCTTAGGGGTTTATCGTGCCAATTGCCTTTAAGCCATAGAGATACTACGATTAGTTTTTTTGAGGCATACAAATGGTCGCCTGCCAGCCTCCACTCTTACTGGGGACCGCGTTGGTGGCGCACAAATCCAGTCCCCGTGACACGCCCCAGCGTACCCGGCGAACAAGACTGCATGTATAGCGAGTACTCAGTGGAGCATCGGGTGGAGGCGTTCCTGCGTGCGTACCTTCGCACCTTCAGCCCGTTTCCACCAATGGAGCAGCCTTTGATGGAAAGAGGCTGGCACGCGCCATGCTGTATACATCTCCACCCGCCGCTCCTTTCAGCACTAAATTCTCCGTCTGTACTCCAAGCCTACCTGTAAACTCTACCTTTCTAGAATTTGATGTTCTATATTTATTTTCTTATTAAGATGACAGCGAAAGCGAAGAATTGGACATGATCTACGGAACTGCAGCACCGATTCGAATAGATCACAGGCTAGAAGAAGCACGAAAACGTCATTCAAAACGTAAATGTAAAGGTAAGTTGTGCTCAGTTGAATCCAAAATTTTGAGATCTCTTTCATTTTCTTAATAAAACTGAGGGACTGAACAGCTGCAAAAACTTTATTATTTTATTACTACCAACTAT